ATGTAGTTAATGGATAAGTACATAGTTGTTATAAGTTTTTATATTAAGTTTTTATTTAAGTTTTTTTTTTATTAATACTAATTATAAGTTTTTACATTAAGTGACAACATTATCGCATTGGGTGTAACCTGTTAGGATGTGTTGAATTAAATAAAAATAAATAAATAAATAAATAAATAAATTTAAAATGCAATGTCATGCAGTCATTATAACCTCTAGATGGCATTAGTTACATCACATTATGTAGATACTTAAGCCGAAAGAGGTAAAGAGCAAAAAGTTCGTTACTCGTTGAAGTTGGGATGATGTCATTGTTTGTTAGACAAAGGCAAGGTTGAAGGCGTGTCGGTCGTGCCGCCATTTTATTGGTCGGTTTCAGCCATATCAACATCCATAAAATGCCACTTGTACAAACCGCTCAGGTGGTATGACGCAGCTTGATCTTTCAAACCTGATACGTACCTACCTACTTACAAGTCGAATTTAAAGATACAAGAAATTGTCGTTATCAATACTCGTTCTGAATGTTGTAAATGGCTTATCAAGCCGGTTCTGTAGAAGTACCTATACTATTTCAATTTGGTGCTGTAACTTTTGAGTTTTAATCTGAATTATTTGGTTCCTCATAGCAACTTCTTAGTTCCAAACCAAGCATTATCTATTTAGGAAGATTAGTTATATCTCTACCGGGTTTATTCATCGTCGTCCTTGGAACAGCGTTTGATCTAATAAGAATTAACTTTAAAATTATCAATGTGTGTCAACGTTTAATTTGGTGGAGCTGAACCAATATTTGTCTTTCTTGAGAAGCTGGCAAGAATTTCTTGGAAAACCTCGTCCTAATTTGCCGTATTCTCTGAAAGTTACCCATTTCTAACAGTTTATGTTATTTTGATTTTAAGTATTTATTTTATTTTCTAATATTCATATCGTATGAAAAGTTTAGCATAGATCAAAGTAAGTGTCAGCTCCCTATCGATTCACACTATAAACATTTTGTTTACAACGTCTAGGAATGATTAAGTAAATTTATTTATCTTGATTCTGACCCGAACTCTCAACTAAGGTTAATGTTAATCATTCATATTTAGCTGACAAATGTCTGTAGCAATCTAATAAACAATTCTGGACAAGTGTGACAACCGCTACTATTATTGGAAATTGGAACGCATTGAGAATTTAATTAGACACGCCCACAATTATAATGCTATTTGATAGCCGTTTATTGCTTTGATATGTAGGTACATACACATTTGCTTGTTCACTAAATAATGATACGTGTATGTGACTTTAATCTAAATTAGTATTTATTTTCTATTTAAGTAAGTAAGTATATGGAAATTTTAGTGAAACTCAACTCTACAACGCAATAAATGCAAATAGTTTAGTAAATTACAAAAGGTCTTTCAAACCTAGCAATAAGCAATTTGGTCCTTTGGTCCACAATATCTTAAATCTACGAAAGTCTTTGGTTAATATTCATTATTTATTTTCCATTGTTACAGCATCCATGCGCTCACGTCGCATCAGTCAGTTTGCGCCACTGCTCATCGCGCTGGTTGGTCTACCAGCTCGTGGCAAGAGCCAACTTGCACACAGACTCGCCAGACATTTGAACTGGAATGGAGAGAGTACTAAAGGTAAGCAAAATTATAAGAATAATAAAGTTAATAGGAATCTGGGAAAGACAATAGAAAACAATTACTTAAAGTAATCTTTCCATAATATGCCAAAATATGGTCCTAATCCTAAGTTACTTAAAGAGGCATAGTACATTTCGTCCTTCGTTGAAAACTTAGGACCAAAATTTACAGACACTACTTTCTGTGTACAAACACTGTCTTATGTCTCAGTCACAACAAACCATAAGTTTGCTGGAATTCATTAGTCAACAATCGCTGGAAGCCCTAATTAATTGTCTGACAAATGAACTAAACTGGAATTATGATATACGACTCTCTGTTTATAAGTCATTAAACAAGTTATTGCTATGGTTTATGCTTTGACGTCATATCAATTGACTTTTTATAACTCGTCTGGTGCTGGAGATCACGAGATTATTAGGACCTTAATAGTTTCTGACGCTAAGACCAAAATTATTGTCTTCGTTAAAATTTTCGGAATGTTCTAGAACATGTGGACCATTCTTGTTGCATCTTGAGTTCAATGTTTATACAAGTGTACTTAAGCATGATGGATCATATTTGATGTAGGTAGATATTCAAATGTCCCCCACAAAGGGTAATCTTATCTTTTTGTTCTACAAACTTTCATGATATTCTAGTAAAGATTAAGATTGATGCGTTGTGATTTGTGACGAGCTTTTTCGGGAAACAATTTTCTTTAAAAAGTTAAGCCGCTTTGGTTTTTCCTGGTGATGACATTTTAAAACTACCAAGAAAGTGCTATCGTATGAGATTGATAAAGAAAATATGCACCTAAATTACGATAAGATATCCTTTTTATTAGTAGACCACAAATATCTGTAAAATTCTTGACATTTCGATGCAATTCAATTGAAAACCATAATACATTTCTCCTTGATTAATCTTGGGCTAGTAATTTGTAACAAACAATTCGATCTGTCTTTGAATTGTCGTATTAAAAGGTTGCTATTAATAAAACAATTTACAGGTTGGATTACAGCGCGCCGTTTACGAAGTTGTGTCAACAAAATTGTGTTTACATACACGTTAGCGACTGTAGAATATAATATAAGCGTGGACTGCTAGGTACATAAGTCGGTAGATATCCCTGACCCAGATGTTAAACGTGGTCTCGTCTCATAACAAAACACTCACGATATTACAAGAATATCTCCGTACTGATTAGATACATCATGTTGGCTTCATCTTGATAAAAAATCTGCTCTAATTGAGAATCACGAGATCGCAAAGGATAAAATTGATATAAGCACATAGCTGTTCTTAGTGTTCTTTGATTCTATATGCGTTAGATTGCAATACAAGTAAATATAGAGCTCTTGCATAACGTGTCGCTTGTAGTGGAGACGTAAACAAAATAATATTATGAAATGTTGTCATGGACAAATAATGTTATATACATATTTGAAACAAACAGTAGGTACTTAATTAGTATACTCAACCACTTGGAGACATTTCTATAAATAAGATACAGTACCTACTAAAATTGAGCAATAATTCGTTTATGTTTATTAAAGAACTTTGGCATTATTTGTAAACAGTTAAGGCTATCCATTTATATTCTCACTTTACGCAATACATAAAGCACTTATGTATAAACGTCTAAATGTCTCTTTTGCAAGAATTACGTAATGCGTAGCTTACTCGGTAATTTCCTTGTTTGTCAAACAAAGCAGTGATTGTAATATAAATTAACGCTGAGGAAAATGTGGGTGTTGTATAAACAACGGTGACACGTGAAAATACTATGTATACCCGGTACCTACAGGAAACTTTCCAGAGGGAATGAGAGAGAATGAGAGAGTGTAAAACAATGATATAAGTTTGCCCTTAGTTTATTAAATACATTTACTTTTTAATGTTTCTTGTTGTATTGTTTAAACATTACTCCTAGCAGCTATAATTGTGTAGTAAACATGTGATTTCCTTCTAGAAATGACTAGCTGTTTCCAGAACCTTACACGTAGTATAATCACTTTGTCAGTGTAGTCATTTTGGTCCTAATTTTAAACTGGTCCTTCGAGTATGTCAGGTTTTGGTCTTTCTATCTTCATAGTCTAAAAGTAACTTCAAACACAATGTCTTAAATACTATTTTTGGTTCCAGTGTTCGACTGCAGCGAGTACCGTCGTCGTCACATGGCGTTGTATGGCAGCCATGACATTTTCCGCGCTGACAACGCCCAGGGTTCCGCGATCCGTCGCCAGAGCGCCCGCGAGGCTGTACAAGATGCTGTTCTGTGGCTTAAAGATGGAAACAGTGTCGCTGTAAGTTGATTTTAACACTATTATAATCATCGTCAGTTTGTATTTATCCACTACTAGACGTATAAGCTTTTCAATAACCTGACACTGCGTGATCATAACATCTACACGCTATTTAACCTACTTGTGCTTAGAATACTTATTGTGTAATTTATTTAACAGGAATAATGGAGTTTTATAGAAGAAGTACAAAAAATACTAGTACTCTATTCTAATGTAAACATAACGAAAAATTCAATCACTTATCATAAATCGTGATAAGAGAGGTTTTGAGTCGCAATTAATGGCTATAATCCGCTGATTAATCTAAACAATGAATCATTAACTAAACTTTCATGTTATCTTTTTCTATTAATGTATCATATCTATAGCTACAAAGGATCTCGGATTCAATTCGCGGATCGAGCAAAGTATTACTGGGTTTTTTAAAATTCTCAGTAGTATCTAGCACGGAGTCTGGAGTAGTGCCCGATATATGGCAATAGGCTCACCCCCTATTACATGGGACTCATAACATAAATAGTGAAAAGTGGGCGTTATATTGTATAGTAGCATTAAGTGCCGTAATGTACAGCTCTGCCAACCTCTTCGGGGATAAAAGGCGTGATGTTATGTTATCTATATCTATTGTATACCACAGATTTAAAAAGCTAGTATTTGGCTACAAAATTATGAAACAGAAATTGACATTGCGACATAGTAAGGTAACCCTATATAACTGTTTTTTAAACCAAACTGTGGGGTTCCGAAGTATGAAAATGTGATTTGGTTAATTGCTATATTAACTGGCATGTACCTTCATGTATGGTTGATTAAACAATGATCGTATTAGAAGCGTAATATTGTGCTGGGAAATAGCTAAATGCATGTTGCACGTGCTTCGTGTAAGGATGTTACGTAAGTTATACCTACTACAAAGTTAGTTAAGTAGAAATATGCACTTAGGCGTGTTTTGTTTTCTAATCACTTCTGCTGTTTGAATGAGGTGTTACCCTTCAAGTGTTGTTAAATGATTATGTAGGTATAAGAACAAGAACTAAAGAACTATGAAATTCTCGGTTAAACGAAACGTAAACGTATTGAACGAAAATGTGACATTTCACTTGAAAAATGATGTAGGTACTAACCTTGCACGCGTCTCACACGTTCACTTTCCAAGAAAATTATTGTATTCTAATCAGTGGGCTTAATCAAAATATCAATAGATACTTACTTCCATGTGTCATCCTACTGTTGAATCTATTTATAAAAACAATAAACCTTTCCAATCCTCTTGTCAAGGATTACGTCGATGATTCAAACAGCATTAGGCGGACAGGATTAGTCATTCACTCATTGTTTTTACAAGAAAAAAGCTATTTTTATCACTTCCAGTTTAAAAATCGTGATTAGATAAAGATAACGATGGATTTCAATATTTGTAAACTTACGTGAAACACGTCATTTTTGCGTAATTACTGTAATGTTTTTCCTTATTCTTTTGTTTGCAAACAATTTTAATTTGGTCATCCGATCGGCAAACTTAACCTTCACCTACAAGAAAGAATTCCAAATAAATTGTGATTAAATGTTAAAGGCTCATGATTAAAAACTTCTTCCAGATCTTCGACGGCACCAACATCACGAGGGAGCAACGCCGGGAACTGAGCGAGTACTGCCTTTCCGACATGGGCTTCAGGATCCTCTTCATCGAATGCGTATGCGAGGACCAGGAACTGCTTGAGAGGAACATCATTGAGATTCTCCATTACTCTGCTGACTACAAGTCCATGAGTGAAGAAGAAGCAGTAGATGACTTGAGGAAGAAATTGGAGCATTACATGAGGCAGTATGAGCCCATTGATGCAGAGTTGGAGACGATCAGTTTTGTTCGCGTGGAGAATGTTGGGGAGACGGTGACAGCTCACAGGGTTGCTGGACAGAAGGAGTCTGGTATCCTGGGATACTTGTCTGGAATGAGGGGCTTACCGCAGACCTTATACTTTACAAGGGTAAGCATTTGTTAAGTTTTTATTACGAATCATATTTTGACTTTACGTCTGCCTTTATTTTGCTTTCATAAATCGTGTGACGAAACCTATGTTTACAAATGCATATATAGATTCTAGATAATGACCATTCTAATTGCATTTCCGTTTGAAATAAACATGTTTTCCGAAGTGCATGTTTATTTTCGCGCCCAAAGATGGCGGGGACGCTATTTTCCCGCCACGTACATACGCCGATCAATAACAATTTCAAGATTTCTAGTTTTGTTTACAATAAACATAGCGTTTGAGGATGTTTTCGTATAAATATTGTGATAGGTTATATTTAGATCTTTCATGAGAACTTCTAGATACATCCAATGATTATTTTTGCATCCAACCTTCAACGTATATTTTTCATTTCCATGTACCTAGTATTTTAATCAACGAACTAAAGACAAATGGCGTGACTGCTCTCTGATTAACTGAACATCCAATCGTCTTGTTTCTGGACACCATTCAAGGTATTATAAATGCCGTGTCCTACGTCATAGACCACAATCCAGTCTACACGCAATGTCGCCACAAATCCCTACAAGTGCCAACTACGTCAGTCCGCATAATAAACTATCAATTATATTATTTCCGTGTTTAAATACATGTAGGAAAAACCGTATTCATCTTATCATTCAAGTATTAAAATATTTTGAGTACAATCAAAATTATCTACATTAATAAACACACCTTATATCTAATTTGTAGGTATCAACAGTTGTAGGTAAGCACTAAAACTAGTGTCAATAAAAATCTATAATAGATTAGTCAAACTAAATAGGTCTTAGATAACCTTACTTCGCTACTTTAGTGATTTAGTGTCGACTACTTATTCAATTTTATGGTGGTTTCAATAAATGTTCAAACGGGTGCACGGTAGTGAACAGCAAAGTGCTAACAAATGAAATCATTGAAAGTCATGTTCTTTTAACACTGTTTCCACAGGTCTAATGTGTGAATGTTTATCCTAACAGCATGGAGAGAGCGAGTACAACGTGTTGGGTCGTATCGGAGGCGATGCGTCCTTGTCGCCTCGCGGTCTTCTCTACGCTCAAGCATTGGCTGACCATATGAACGCTCTGCCGTGCCGTGATCACATGACTGTGTGGACTTCCGAGAGATGGCGCACCAAGCAGACCGCGGCCCACATTAGAGCTCCAAAAAGAGTCGTCAGGGCACTCAACGAGTTGGATGCTGTAAGTACTAAAACATTTATTTTATAGTACCTAAGTATGCTTACGTGATTGCCTTAAGGTTAAAAAAGCCTGGCTGTAAAAACACGTTTGTAATTTCAGTTTTTTCCTTTCATTAATCGGTCTTTGACTTTGATCATATTTGGCATTGTATAAATTATGACCAGGCCTAATCATAAATAAACTTATTAATACTTTAAACGGATCATCTAACAACATTAAATGGTTTCAATTAAAAACAAAATGGAGTCGATTAATTACTTATTAATGTCATCATCATAAAAAAATACAGTAAATTAAATCGAACGGCGTAATTAAAAATAATCTGACCCCAAGCAAATTATTGCTGACACTGTGACACAACCACGATATTCCATTAGCAACTAAAGATAGACAAGCATAATTAATTGCGAGGTACTTGAAAGCTAAATATTTTAATGTTTATCAGCCTTACCGATCAATTTAATTAACAGCAAACAAAGATAATCGGGAAAAACAATATTTGTCATAAGTAGGTAGACTTGATTACTATCTAAATTACTAATTTAAAAGCTTTTCATTGTGTTTCGTCATCAAGAAGGAAATGACGTGTAGGTATAATTATAAAATTGCATTTATCTTTGTGTGTACTCTAATTATGTGTACTACTTACTATAAAGTATTTTGAACAAAATAATACCAACATGTACCTAAAACTCTTCGGCATATTTATCTCATATTAGCATTATACATATTAGTGACTTGGCAGTATTTTAAGAATTTTGTTTTTCCATAGTATGAGACGAGAACACTGAATAACAATCAACTCTATTGACAATAACTGAACCCCTATGGTGTGATTGTATCATGATAAAATCACACCATAGGGGTTTTCCCTCATAAGCTCATGAGCTTATGAGGGAAAACGCTGACTCTTTTCAGCTGTGCCGTTTTCAATCAATTTTGGCCGTACTTTGTACCTACCGCTATCAATGAAATTTATTCCTGTGATCACGTACACTAGCTATCTACCTATTAGTACATCACATAATTATCTCTTATCATAGTTGTTATTGATCGGCCCCCGGAGTGGTGTGACCGTCGCCATATTTAAATTAATATAGATATTATGAAATCATACTGTTTACTGTCTAGTGTTTGTAATTTATAGATAAGTATATTTCAAATACAATACCCTAAGTGGGTATTTAATTTGCTAGTTCCGTGATGTAATTAGTGATAGGTTTAATAAGGCATTTCTTGAATTTACACAACCGTAAAGTTAAAAAATAACTTTGATTTGAATTGTTCAAGTTCTGCTTCAGTAACCAGATCTCGACAATGCCAAAATAAGATCTAATCAAAAAAGTAAATACAAAAAGATTGAACAAAAACTTAGTATTCGAAACTTAATTCAATTTACAAATCGACTTTTTAGGAAGCGGAAAATCCGGAATGCAGTGTAGTTATAGAATAAGTGGTCTAACATTGTAAGACCAATTAAAATCTGTGCTCATGTTAATTTAACTGCTAAACATTTCATTTGTCGCGGAGAACCTAACGGGTAACCGGGGCTCCGGCTCGACGTGCAGGAGAAGGAACGGGGTGGTTTTTAGTCAGTAAGAGTCTGACACGGAGCAGTCATACGATGATTTTCCCCCTTTAAAAAAAAAACATTTCATTTCGTCAACTGCTTAAAATACACTTAACATAACCAAATAAATGGATAGGTACTGAGAATGATCAATCACGGAACCCATAAAACCAACGATTGTAGTTTCTAATCGCAGTACTGACCACAGTTGTCTTATACCTAAGTTTTACAACGCAAATGTCAATGCGACCTACATCAAATGACGTCATTAAACAATCGTGATTATCATAGGAAAAGTACTATCATTCTATCGACACTCACAAACCGCGAATGCTATTCATATTATTGTCACCATTGTGACTCAGAACAAAAACGTAGCTCTGACATTGAACGGGATAAAAATAGAATAAAACACTGAACATAATGTCTAAACCGTTCGTAACCAGATGTAATAGACGGTTTGATTGCATAATAATTTTAGTGAATGCTGATTATAGTTACAGGTCGTAGAACTCAGATATCAGAAGTTTTATATAGCTTGTAATTATTTTTATGTGCCCTAATTTCAACAACGACTTTGAATAAAATCGAAATGTTTTGCTAGCAACGAAATATAAAAACAGATCAGATGACGCCACATCTAGTGCCAAATAATGGTCAAAATGATTAATTGTGCGTATAATTGTATGTTCACGTGTTTTTCCACGACATTAAACTATCTAAACTAAAACAAACGTAGTACGCATGACATTTAAAATGAGGCACGTGTCATGACGCTAATGGTAATCCTATAAACACATTAAAGCTTTTAAAACTAAATCGATTAGTGACTATAAATCTCTTTCTGTATTTTCAACCTTATTTTCTGTTGCTAATAGTCCTTTTTTATTTATTTCTAGGGTATCTGCGAAGGTTTGACCTACGAAGAGATGCAGGAGCGTTTCCCTCAGGAGTTTGCTTGGCGTGATCAGGACAAGCTTCGGTACCGCTACCCTTGGGGTGAATCATACATTGACATTATGACGCGTCTCCGACCAGCTCTGTCTGCGTTGGAAGATGAGCACAATGTTGTTGTAGTTGGACATCAAGCAGTGCTGCGATGCATGCTTGGATATTTCCTGGACGCTAAGCTTGGTAAGAAACGTTCTGATCTACCTTTCCTCATTAATGTTCTTTCTATTCAATGTTAACTAGAATTTACTCCATTACGCTTCACTCATTACCAGGGTTTCATAACTTTTGAGAGTTCGATAATTAACCTACCTCTGTATATTTCCAGATGAGCTACCGTACATGAACGTCCCACTCCACACGATCGTGAAGCTGACGTCTTACGGATACAAGTACAAGGTGGAGATGATCAAGCTGCCTGTGGACTGCGTCGATACTCACCGCCAGCAGCCCAAGGTAAGGATTCGATATAAACAGAGAAAACAAGGGACAACTTGACCCTTGATTTATTTACTCGACTCAATGACATTTAATGTCATAGTTAGCATAACTTTAACTACTGTTTCCAATAAGCAAAACGGTCAATATTTACTTGCATAATAGTCTACGGCAAAAAAACTAATTTTAATGGAAATGCGCATCAAAATCCTTGTAAGAAATAACAATATTCTAATGATCATATTAGTCTTCGAAAGTAATGTACTTGGCGCTTTTTATCGTTTATGTTTTTGGTGGTGTGATTATTCGGAAGTGCGTTACCACAGCCAACCAGCCAGGAAATACCTGATGTCACGACTCAAATTACTTTAAGTGACTTGTGATGATATTTTAGTTCAAAGATCACTTGAATTATGAAGTCGGCGTCGGCAGTTCGACGAATAAATATTTTGGGTGTCGCATTGCCAAAAACTATCATTGCCACATGTATTGATCTGAAATTCTGACTATCAAATTCAAAATAATCTACGATGTTGTTCTGACAAAAAAAGTATTGCGCACCCAAAAAAAAGTAATCTGAATATCAATTCTCGTTAATGTTATACGATTTTAACAAAATGTATCACAATGCGGTACAAAAATTGCATATTATTTGTAGCATAGATACAGAGGCCACTTCAGCCGGTAGAATGTCAAATTAAAGTACCTCGGTATAATCAGTTTGTATGGAAATATGTTTGCTTTAGTTACATGAGTGATAGCTGCAAAGAGCAAAGATAAATATTATATTGATATGCAATGTCACGGAGTGGGCAACTGATACAGTGTGTAATTTATGACAAAAATAACTTTCAATACATATTAGCTTCACGAATAGCTCTTAAAAACCAAATTCGCTCGCTTTTTTCAACTGAGTAGAGGGCGCTACTGTGTTTTAAAAGATTAAACTCAAAAACAATTGAAGTTGAAAGTATTTTAATGTAACACGATTTAAGTTAAAAAACATTTGGACACATAGAACACCACTTTAATTAGTTGATTTCAACGAAAAAAAATATAACTAAGGATAACCGATTTAAATAAAAAGTGATTTTTAAAATTTACACGTGCACTTTTCGTAACCACTTCTCAATTGTATAATTCGTCTCACGATTTAGATTTGTATCTTTGCACCTAATGAAATGTAAAAACACACGAAAATAGTTATTGGCACGATACGATGCCACGTTTATTCTAGATTCGTGTGCATTCGTATAAATCTCTTGACCAATTATACCTAAACATAACTAGATACTTATTAGAAAAAATAGATTTCTATGCGAGAAATGTCAGTCAATGACCTCTATCTAGATTTTCTGCCATAAAACATTGCCTTAACACTGCACTGGAGAGATCATAACTCAATAATGGTATTTTTTCTATATGTATATTGAATTTCTCCACGGACTTGTATCCGAGCCCTTGTCATATTACAAGTACATGATTTTCATGGTTAAATAATTTTTATAAAGATCTTATGGAACCGACTTAGCAACTATTAATGTTTTAGGTATTCCTTCACAAGATTTGTGCTATATAGATTTCACTGATATATGTTAATTGTACACAAACATTAGTCTAATATACAGCTTAATGACATTAATTACTTTAGATACTATCAATACTGAGATAAAAATATTATCTTTAATTTGTTTAGCTTTGACACGCGCATTTAGAAAGTTCTTGTGATAATTCTTAATCATTCTAGGCAACAGAATTACAATAATGTTAAAAATGTAATAATGACATCATGCTGATATAATACTAGGTGTACTGTATGACAATATTGTCAAAATGATCCGAAGTTCTGTTGATATAAAGTTGATCAATTAATTTCTCAGAACTTTTTAATCAGTCACTTGTTCAAAGCGTGATGGCCGACAATTGTGTTTATAAACATAATTTTACTTAACTTTATTGTTTTATTGTTACAGAACTGCTCAATAAACAGGACAACGGCCGATGCGTTGGTCACGGTCCCGTCCCACTACGATACTCTCCCGTCGAACCTTTGGCAAAACCCCACTGAGGCGCAACTTTAGGCGCCACGCCAGGGCTGGCGATTATCGCCGCCCTTTCCTACCGTAGCAGCATTACTTGGGCACTAAAGCCCCCGGACCAAAGGTCTAACAGTCCACGGACTTGAAAAACCCTGGACTAGGAGAGCACGCCACGCCAAGATGTTTCGGGAGTCATCTAGCGATCTCTAAAATGAAAGACTGGTGTGAGTGACCCTTCACCGATGTTTGAATTTATACGTATGCACGCCGTACAATAGCCAATCATAATTTTAAGTGTAGACTAATTCAATTCTTTTTTATTTTTTAACCAGTGTTGCCAGACACGTCATTCGATCTGTTAAGCTCAATTGAATTCGTACAAAATAAAATTATTTTAACAATAGTGATGAAGCACGCTGTGTGAATCTTCCAACGTTATATTATAAGACTGAAAGTGTGGAACCCTTGAAAAATCACTTCATCATAAGTTACATAATAGATAATTATGTTGTTTTTTTTATTTTAAAAGTAGGTACGAAATAGCTCCTGTTATTTTTAATGTTGCCCCTTTATTCATAAGCTTAGCGCGCAAGATTAAGCTTTGTAGCCCACACATATCTCTCTCACTCATATTCTACCGACTAGAATGAGACAGCAGTTAGTTGCGTGGACTTGTAGTTTATGAATAAAGGTATTAGTACTAAACTTAAGTAGAACGTAATAGTATCCAAGCTATTTGGAGCTTATTTAGACGATTAGTTTCATTATCACTACGGACATTCAGTTCCAAACTATATTCCTTATCATAGTTCTAATTACGATTAAGGATGACCATACGTCTAAATAATTAAGTTGTTTAAATATAATTTCACTTATCATTGTGTGATTTTCACTGAATGTAATCAACTGGTACATAAGCCGGGATTATACCGCAATCTTACATTATATGCTATCTTGCTTACTTAAGCGTAATATTAATGGTGAAAGTAATTAAGTAGTACCTACTTTAATATTTTATGTAGAAGAAAAGTACTTAGCGGGATAGATAATGTTGTAACTACTTGTAATTGTAAGCCTGCGGGCGTATCAGTAGGATAACATTAGTATTACGGTGTGTCAATTATTGGACTGACCAGTACAGAATGTAACAGTCTATTTGTAAACGTATGTCTTGGGATATATAGGAGTTTCATTGTCTTCTTTGCATGTCTTATTTTTTATAATATAATTAAATATACACTTAATGAAATATACGATGTTGTTTTATTTGACTATACCTGCATTCTTGTATGAAATAAAATGGGCGACGCATTCATACATCTACGTACTTACCTGTCTGATATACAAGATAAACTGCATAAAAGACTTTAATATAACTATATTAAAGTCTATTATATTATATAATTTTATGAACCGTGGTCGCACGCTGGGTTGGAACCTTCTATTCCTGTAATATTACTACATGTTAACAAACAAAATACGCAGACGGACATTTTTGTACAAATTCATCATAATACACTTAATGAAGTTTAAAATCTTTCGAACTCTCTGAACAAGCTCAAATTGCTAAGCCTAGAACAAAAAAGTATGAAATGAGTAACTATTTAGTCTTTATAGGTTAAAACTTATAAGGATAAAAAATAATAATATTGCTCCGCTTGGTTTGTCTTGGCTGTGCACGCTGCCGTGCCCCCAGACGACAGTAACAACTGTAAAAATCAATAATCGGCAAACGAATCTGCATATAATATGCAAGCTGTTAAGTTCTAAGCGAAGACTCTCGAATTCGATTTCAGCTCCAGGGTTTTTTTTTTAAAGGGGAAAATCATCGAATGGCTTCTCCCACCTAGGTGAGGCGGGAGGGAGTGTCAGACTCTTATGCGACTAAAAGTCACCCCGTTCCTACTCCTGCACTTCGAACCGAAGCCCCGGCAACCCGTTAAGTCCTCCACGGCTTCGACTCGCCGTACGCTCAGCTATCTCGTCGTCCGCAGGCCCGTGAGCTCCAGGGGCGAGTGAAAAATTGAGCTTTTCCTTTCCGAAAACTCTCAATAGGTAACATCATGACTACACTAACGTTTTTTTTCTCCTCCTCTTCTATTATAATATCTTCTGATTCACTTCGTTGCGGGAACCAAGACAGTAATTCATGTCCCTGGGACGTCAATGTTCCGGTTCTTTCATGTTTGTATCTACTGTAGATTCTGGCTTACAGGAGTTGCAGCGGTTTTGGCGGACTCGTCCCATTAAAAAAAAGGTAAGATCATGACATGAAGATGTAATTTTAAAAATAGAATAAATAACAAATCATGAAAAATGCTTGCAGCATCTACCTGCCTACCCCTTCAAGCATGATTAAGTAAGTAGTACCTAAGTATGATTAAAAGCTCCGCCACATAAAGTAGAACATTTATTCGCAAAAGTAAATTTCGAAAGTTTGATGACGGAATGTGAACCAGTCGGAGAGGCTGGGTCATTACTGCTGGCTTGAAGGTCGGAGTCGTGTATGTAGATCAATATCTATTGTGCAATCTAATGCTAGCTACAATTACTGCTTAACCTGTACGACATTGGTAAGCTTAAATTATAAACATCAGTCAGATTCGTCGCGCTTCCCAACTGTGAAGCTTTTGGCGGAATATAAGGTCACAGCACTCTCTTCATCACATGATTTTAGAAGTGTTAGGACATTTAACAACAGCAAAATGTCCTTTTTTATTATTATATCATCACGCTTTTTTTTCATCCCCGAAGGGGTAGGCAGAGGTGCACATTATGCCACTGTACAATGTAACACTCACTTTTTACTATTTATGTTATGAGTCCCATGTAGTAGGGGGTGAGCCTATTATACCGGGCTTATTTCCAGACTCCGTGCTACTACTGAATTTTTTTTTAAATACCAAATGAACTTTGCCCGACCCGGGATTCCAGTTTCCAGGGAAACAGAAATTTTAGTTTTGTAAGTTAGTTTTTTTCTAGAGGTATGTACATTAAATAGGTACTTAAGATACATTAGATACGTCTTGGTAGGCAATGTACTTGTGATGCCTCTGGCTGTATTTGCAGGGTAACTAGGCTACGTCGTAGCCGCTACGGTAACCGCTTTACCATCAGGCGGGTCGTATTTATTGGCATTAGCGTAAAATAAGACAAGATTAACTTCCAGGTCCTTACTTATTTTTATACTTAGGTACTTCAGTTCACGTAAAAGAGGTTTTAAAAATCTTTTTAATTAGTTTATATGTGGAAATTATTAAAGTACTGTACAAAGATAAAACCTAATAATTAAATTATGTGCATAATTTTAAACAAATACAGAGTTAGGTAACGTAGATATGCAAAAACGGTGGAAAATCTTGAAGGCCGATTATAAAACGTAAAACCTTGAACTTCGCTAAAATTATATGATTAATAGGTAAACACTTACCTACTTATAAAGCAGTAAGTACCTGTATAATACTTAAGTCGTTGAAATCCGTTTATAAGTCAATTTGTTTTGGTGTTAGAACGTGTCATTTCACGGTTTAACGCCAGCATTTTATGATATCACCGACTGTTATTAAGACAAATGGTAAGAAAATTCTCGCATTTATAACTACATATTGAATTATATTTGTTTCAAGTTTATTTACATATTAATTTACTTGGTTGAAGCTACATTGCTATCTGACTTCTCCGAGAAGAAATCGTAGACCGCATCATTGCTTACCACCAGGCGAGATAGTGGTCAAACGTCGGCCCATCACATATAAAAAAATCCTAAACAGACTAAAGGGCACCTTAAACGGAAGTTGATGGCGAATTTTATGGCTCTCAGAGACAACACAATCTCGGCAATAAGTCTCAGTGCCTACCTATTGAAGTTATTTTATTAATATTCATAAAGTACAAAGTGACTTAATACAGAAAATATTTACCAGGATAACGTTAAATTAAATCTTTTGAAAAGAACAAACTAAGTATATGGCAATGAGAGATATCATGGAAATGGAAGATATAAGTATAATAAAAACAAATTTTCTATAATTTATAATTTTGAAGATCTCCTCACCCGGAAACAAGTTCACAAAATCAACGAAGTGCATCAGCATCCCGTCAACTACGGGAAGAAAATGAAAAAATGGAAAGATAGAATGGTACCTACTCACCTTTACTTTGATACCTATTTGTTAACCTTTCATTAGGCAAAAATACCGATTTATGATAACAAAACGAACTGAAGCCTAACTACAATCTTTTGTCTGGAGTAGCGGATAAAGTTATTGCGGCCCGTAGTCACAGAAGAAGCATTTATACTTCAGTTTGTTTGTTGGGTTACAAAAACAGGGTGGTTTTACAAAAACAGTTAGCAAGAACCTGACACTGCTCACGCCTGACCCAGGAAAGGTTCCACCTTCGATGATTCTTAGCCGCTTCACGCATAGTGAGTTGATCAATACATTAATTGCAAGTATGTCCAATTCATTAATCCACCAGTGCATACAACCATTAATAACACCAATAATACTCACAAACGGATTACCAGTACAAGGATGATTGATGATTCCACAGTTCATTCATTCAAACCGATAATACATATCTCCCATTGATCAGTGCAGTGGGAAATAAGTGAGAGGCTTTACAATATGTCCGTGACTTACTTCATTGACAGATGGTGTTCAACCGCAGTCTACGACACGACGACCCCACAGCGAAAATATACGCGATCGCGCATTGTCATACAAATGTTTTAAACGCGCACACGCACGCGTAACGCTGTTCTTTATTTAAATTTTCTCAAACATTTAATCCTCGTTCGAATTTTAAATGAAGTGCTGTTCGTGTTTTTTATAACCAGTGATTTTTGCAATAAAAAAGTAAGTGCTGTTTGTTTATGAACATATTTTCGGTTTATAAGGTAGGTAGACATTATTGATTTGCTTAGATTGTGGGTGATAAGGCCGGCTTGCTATGAAAGAGGATTCTGATAATAGACAGAATAATGAACAGCCACAGAGGTATCAATTATGTCACTGCTGATAATAAAATATCCTTTGAGAGGTATTTACTTTTATAAAAATACAATAGGTACCTACTCTGTACACGTATAATAGGAATATTTGTGTATCAGTCAATCTTTCGTCTAGTAAATGGGTCCCGATTTAGATGGGTAGGTAAGCAAATCTTCAATATTGAAGATATAACAGCGATCCTTGCATTCCAGTACGCTTTGTAACAAACATAAATATTTTATTAGATTATGAATTATGCCTATGAACTTTCTGCTCACATTTTTCAACCCAATAAATAGCTCGATGGCAAACAGAAACTAATCTATGTATATAAACATTTCAGTACATTTCACGATTCAGTTTTACAGTGATTCAAGGTTTTCTCGAAATATCTAGATTAATAATTCATCCCGATCTCGAAAGATCTGTATTAAGAATTCATCATAGAAAATCAGAATAATTAGCTAATAAAAACATTTAACAGGGTGTTACATTGTACAGTGGCATAATGTACACCTCTGCCTACCCCTTCGGGGTTAAAAAGCGTGATGTTAAAAATATTTAACCTTGTAATTGATAACTTCCTTAATTTGAAATGTATTTTTACGGTCGTTTATTTTGAAAAATGGAAGAAATATAAATAACCATAGCAACGTACCTATTTTGATAAAAATAACACAATAAAAACTTATAGATAATTAAGTAGAACAGAAACTGGTTTTGAAACAATTGTTTTGAATTATTATTCTGTACAGTAGTAGATTTTCCACTTATTTTTATGTTGTTAGATGATTCGACATATGATATTATTGCCCACATTTTCCATATTATATTGTATTCTTTGGATTTTCTTTTTACTTCTAGAAGAACTTGTGCGCACAGCAATAGCAACGAGTAATTTTTGTATTAAGAATATCTCGTTTGTATCTATTTTCTTTCTTTTTTTAAAAAGAAAAAATAACATTTCTTTTTTTTAACATTTCTTTGTTTGTTTCGTCTATTTTTTTGAGGGGAAATAATCACCTAATTCCTCATCCTGCCTGGAATGAGGCGAGAGTGAGTGTCAGACCTAAAAACCACGCCGTTCCTACTTCTGCTCTTCGAGCCGGAGCCTTCGTCTTTCCTCTATTTTAATAGGATTGCACATCTCTCCCTTTCTCGAGTGTCCTGTTTTCGACTACAGCACGCCCTAGGCCCGGTTTCAGTTCTCCGTAAAATTAAATATATAACTCATTTAATTCATATCACATACATTCACT